CAAGGTGCATTATGTAAAGGTACAATTCCCAATGAGAAATGTAATTGTGTTGTATACCTACAATGTACCAATAAAAGAATTTAATACAAAAAAAGCCTACTTAAAAAAAGACCGGATTGAATATCCAACCTGACAGTGCTGAGAGGAGGCTTCTGGGGGGAGCAGGTAGAGGAGGTGAGGTAGGATTCTGCAGAAGAGAGAAAGCAGCATCTCACCTCTTCTAACAAGGCTACTTCAGAGCTTCTAGAGCTGCTCATGGTAAGGGGTGTCTCTTTGGCTGTATTTTGGTAGACCACTATTGCCAACAAGGAGTTCCTTCTTTTCATACAGTCTCCAGGCAAGCTCTGCAGCAGGTTAGTGGAGTGAGCCCTCATCCCTGGAGGGGACAGACAGGTGCACTTGGCTTTGTGGGGCTGTGGTCAGCAGCCATTACCCCCAGAGTGATGCAAGCGGGAGGGCAGAGGTGAGGCTAGACGATGGGAGCTGGCACGGTGGAGGGGAACGTTCCCACCACGCCTGGGGGTGTGGGCCCCCATGCTTTTGGATAATCACAGCGACTTATCATTTCTGTACACTCCCATGGGTCTGCAAAAGGCTGGTGGGATCTTAAAGGCTCTTCCTCTGCCCATGGCCTATGCCCGGGTCCTGACAGCTTCCGGGGCCAGGATCCAGGAGGCATTAAAGCAAGATCCCCACAGACACCAAAGTCCAAGGAGGCTCATGTCCCTCCTATAAAATGACACAATGCTTCTGTAAGCTTTAAATCATTTTTAGGCTATGAATACCTAAGACAATGTAAGTACTATTTTTTTTTTTTTTTGGTACCGGGGATCAAACTCGGGACCTTACACTTGCGAGGTAGGCGGCAGAACCACTGAGCTAAATCCCTGACCCTGTAAATACTATTAAATAGTTTAGGGAATAATACAAGAAAGAAATAAAGAAAAACTCCACACATGTTTAGTACACTCACAAGTTTTTGCCCAGAGACGTGCAGTTGGTTGAATTGCAGATGTGGAACCCACAGGGAAGACTGCACACCGATTACTTCCTATGGAGCATCACCACCAGCTCCACCTTGGAACCGTATCTCAGGATCCCTGCAGCTGGGTAGAATAATCTCTCATCTTTGGGGCTCTCCCTGTCCCCCAAAGCTCAGCCATGATCCTGGTCCCACTGTGGAAGCTCAGGCTACCTTGGGAGATGTCCTGCCACCACAAGGCCTCTACAACACCCCCTTATGGGTCACAGAGGAAACCACAAAGGAAGTCTTCATTCCACTGCTATGTGGGGGGAGGCTGGGACCTCTACACTCAGTGGACCCAAAGCTGTCTGCATCCCTAACCCATGCATGCCACCCCCTATCGCCTGCCTTCAGTGACCAGAGATAGCACCAAGTGCACCCACAGATGGGAGGGGCCCAGGCCCAGCAAACTGGCCCAGGGAGGACACAGCCACTGCGCATGTGAACCCAAACCTTTATGAAACTCCAAGAACCCAGAGCGAAGCTGGAGAAGAGGAATCCCAGGAGGGGAAGTGAGCAGTGGGCACTTGCAGCAGGCTGCTTGGATCTAGGAAGAGAGCAGAGGTCTGCACTCCTTGCCTAGAGCTCTCCCAGGTGAGGCCCTTACAGCC